CCAAATACTTTAACTGAAAAAGTCCACATTGCCTCTTTGCAGTTCACAGAGTTTTGAAATAAAAGCAGATTTTATAACTTTTTGTTTCTATTCCTGGAGCTAAATTCTGCACTCAGGGCCAGATCACAGGAAAACTCTTGAAGATTGACTATGTAGAGTTTCCTATGGAACATTCCTCTCAAGGGGGAGGACCTTGGGAGAGAGGTCTTCCAACCTCACAGATCTCAAAATGGATCATCTAGATCTAGGGAGGCGTCACTCATCCTGCAGTGATTGCTGCTCATCCCTGCAATTATAGGGGCCATCATCCCATCTGGCAGAGCAGCTGTGCAGATATTGCTCAAGTCATCCTGCAACTTATTGGAGCCTTCTTGGAGACCGTTGGTGGAGGATGCCAGATGTGCTGAAACAATTCGTCCCCCAGCTGCCCTGGCCATGTCCCCTCCCCAGGCAGGGCTATATGCTGTTGGCTACACTGGCTCCCCTGCATAGGTAGCAGAGGATAAGCTGTGGCCAACTTCTGCAGTCATAAATTCCCCAACCTGGCCAATTTTCTGCCACCAGGACACCCTACCAGGTGTTCCTGGACAAAATGTAACCCTTTGACCAATACATTTTTCTGCTCTTTAAGCTATAGTTGAGACAACTGCATTAATTTCGTAACAAGTTCAATATTTGCTCTTACACAAAAAACTCATTAATTTGGTGTTCAGCCAAATTCTCTGCTGATATAAATTCACATATCTTTGGAGTCAAGAGCTTCATCAGTTTATACCAGCTGAGAATTCTCTTTAGCTTGTATTTCTGTGGCAGAGGCCCTCACAAGGCATGTTGTGCAGAGCAGGTTCTCTTCCTTGCCTTTACACCAACTCAGCAGATACTTGGGCAACCCCAGTACTCTGTACAATTCGTTGTACAGATTTGGGGATGGTTTGTGCCAGAACTTGAACACACCTTTCATTTGGGGACAGTATTGTGCCTGTCTTGAACCTCCTCCCTAATGTCAGTTCATAAAAATCTTATTTTTTAGAGGTAAAAAAAAAGATAGACTAGATGCTCCGATCAGTCTCTCGGCCAGTGCAGAATTGTTCTCTAGTTCTAGTATACATTTACTTGTGTAACATCCAGTCGAGTTTTAAAAAGCCCAAGTGAAGGAGTTTCCACCACTACGCTTGGGAGATTATTCTTCAAGCCTAATTTGGTGGGCACCATTATAAACTTTCTGCCATTCTGCAGCAACTAATACACCACTTATTGATTCTAAGTATAGGAAGATATCCGGGTTAGTGCAGATAGTTGGAGTGGCGAATGCTCTAGAGATGTTTTGTTTTTCCCTTCCTAACACATTCTGCAAATTTTCAGTAACTCAGCTTTTCCAGCAATCACTCTACTATCTTCCAAGCCATCAAACTGTGAAATTTAGTCTTGTAGTACCTGCAAATGGAAAGATTTTTGGCCAGGATATGTACCTTACTAATAATTTAGATCTCATATATAGACTAAAATGGCATTAGAAATAGTCTTTATTTTATTGGGTTATTTTTACTGTGTTTTCAGACATAATATTGAAGGAGAGGCTTTACTTGATTTGTAAGAGTTAATGTATGACATGCTGTAGAAATACACCCAAAACACATACAGCACATAAGTGAAGACATATGAATAACTTTACTCATATGAGCAGTCCCACTGAACTCAGTTGGACTTCTCAGATGCCCAGGTTACTCAAGTGTATGTCTGCAGAATCAGGGCTATATTTTGATTGAAAATAGTAATTAAGGCCTGGATCCTGCAAAGACTTACACAGGTAAGTAGTCAATGGCACTATTCACATGGGTAAGATTAAGCATGGGTGTTAAGTCTTAAAACTAGAATGATTTTTAATAGTAGAATCATCGAAACCACAGAAATTAAAGGTAACAAAGGCCTGTTAGTCATCTATTCCCCTTTATAAAAATCCTTTTTCTTAGTACAAACTAATATTACAAGGTAATTTTTATTCATGATGCTGTTATCCAGCTTTATGGTCTTTATGCTCCTTGTTTTTTCTGGTCTCGTGTTGAAAAGAAAAAATAAATTAAAACAAGAAGCTGGTTTGTAAACACACATTATGAAATATGAAGAATCGTGGGACCAACTGACCACTTCAGTGATTATGAACATTGTAAACTATTTAAAGAGAGTATTTTTCACTGTTCTTCATTAGGGTCTGATTACCTCAGCCATTAACATTTGGCTCTTATTATTATGATTGTGAAATACTGTTCACACTAATGGACAAAGAAAGTTGACGTGGCTATCTTGATTAACTCATCAATAATAATTTGGAATAATTTTTCTTCATTCACTGGATGAATCACTCACATGTCCTGTAATAATGCACATTGTGGTGCAGTAAATTAACATTAAGATTATCCACCTCTGGGAGTTAGATTCTACTTCAAAGCACTGCTGAAAAGAGATTTCCAATGCGAATTCTACACACAAAAAAGTCTTTGTGTAACATCACTTTTTTATAACTGTCTGTGCAATGTACTAGGACATGTAACCCTCAGATTGTACATGTGAGCTCCACAATCTTTAAACAATTGGGTATTAAGGAAAATGCACAAAACTGCTCCCCATACATTTTAAATTTTTCTCCTGAGGTAAATACAATAAATTTTTTGTCTTAAAAACTATGCATAAAATCTGTAACAGATGAGGGAAAATTCTATAAAGAATAAAAACCTATTTATACTCCCTATGCCAACACTGAACTAAGAAGCCCTTTAAAAAAAATTATGGGCCTGATACTGCAAACCTTCACTCCTTTGAGCATCCATAGTGAAGCCAAGGGGACTACTCATGTGAGTAAGTGTTTGCAGGATCAGGCCCCACATCATGTGTCAAATCGTTTCTCCCTGCAGAAAGCCCAAGCAAACAGGCTTTGCAACAAGGCTCTTCTCTGTAAGGATGGACTCCTGCCTTCCCACTTTGCTCCCAAGTCTCTCCAAGGTCACCAGTGCAGGTCACGGCCTGCAGTAGTTTTTGCAGTTGTGGTGCACACACACCCTAAACAGGTATTATCACAGACCCCTACCTCTCTGCTGCTGCTACCCCAAATATCTTATCTGCACCACTGCAGATAGAGCCACTAGAGCAGGGGTTCTCAAATTGGGGGTCGGGACCCCTCAGGAGGTCATGAGGTTATTACATGGGATGTCATGAGCTATCAGCCTCCACCCCAAACCCCGCTTTGCCTCCAGCATTTATAATGGTGTTAAATATATAAACAGGTGTTTTTAATTTATAAGGGGGAGGCTCACTATGTGAAAGAGGTCACCAATACAATAGTTTGAGAAACATTGCACTAGACAGTACAGTTCTATACCATGCTGTGTGTAAAGTTCTCTCCTGCATAGGTTCTTCACAGCCTGTCCGCACTGGGTATGCAGCCTTCCAGTCTTTAAGTCAGAGCTGCTCCTCCAGGCTTTCACCAGTGTAGCTGAGAACTAAATCTGACCTAGAAGTTTCAAACTTGTCTTGACTTCTATTTCTCAGGGAGGACAGAAAAAACAATCCAAATTTGAACAGAAGTGATTCAATAGTTTATGTAATTTATATTTAAATGCATCAATTGTCCCTGTTATTATGAACTTTTAGAGCATTCAAGTATGTGTATGAAAACATGTTTTTAGATGCACTAAAACTCTAACATGGCTTAGAATTTTGTGGGCACTTTGAATCGCTTTTGCTTTAGGTCACTGTGGCAATGTAAGGCTGAGCAAGTGAGCCAAAATTCACAGGAGACTAGTGATTACACATAAAATTTGAACAGGGAGATCCTTGAAGTTTTGCAATGGGCAAATGCATGCATGCAACATTACTTGGATTGAGGAAGTCTGAACATTTCCCCCATTTTGTTTTAAATAAATCAGTACTTACTGATTCATTGGCAGTCTTACCATTAAATCCTTCCACTCCCATCCCTCCTGACCAAACCTACTTCCCATTCCCAGCACCTGATGGAGGCTACCATACCTGAAAACTATTCCCTCCAGCTGCAGGGAGTGCAGTTGAGCTCTGCACTCTGCAGAGGCATGGAATTGGTACTTTCATTCTCCCCCCGCCCCACACACACACACACCACACCCCACATCCTTTACACACACACACACACACACACCGCAGAGCACCAAAAGTATCTATATGACTGTTTATTTCATTTTCTCCTTTCATCAAAGGCTTTTCTTTCAACTACTCGATTCCTACTTGTGATGTGTAATATTCTTATTACCAAAAAATATTCCCAACTCCAAAAGGTTCTCAATTAATTAATGCATTCAAAGTAAAATGTTTTTGCAAAAAGGAGGGTACTGCTGGGAACAGAAAAAGGGAAGAACACTTGGTTGGCTGGTAAAGGTTTAATAGTAAAGCAGGCTGCACTATGGACACTTGCAGATTAAAGAACATATTGAAATATTTGAGGTATTTTCTTATAATGTGTACATCTCACTGATGGAGGTGAGAATACATGTTACATGTGTATTCAGTACTATTTTATAGTTACAATTAGGAATAAGTCTTCCTGTGCTCTACAGCTTAAATAGAATTTATCTGCTCTTCTCTCTCTCCTCTCTATGTAGCAGCTACATAAGTATGGGGAATCTTGACTGCTCAGTGGAGGGGTTAGTATTCCCACTGATGGAATATTCTACTACAACAACAGTTCCATCACGGTATTCTCATCTTCAAATAAGGTTATGGATACAAAATGTAGGAGGTCACCAGCAAAAGCCACGTGATTTGCACTTAATTCATACCTATCATATGGCACGGCTCATATTTTGCAGCTGTGTTGTTTTATTCACATTGTGAGACATCATTTGAAGTGTATGAGAGATTCTCAAAGCACAGAAAGGATGAAATCAGAGAAAAATATTTCATGGTTATACAGACGTTGTAAAATATTTTATAGCATGAGAGATAGCATTCGAGAGACTACAATACTTGCTCACCTGAGTAGTCCTTATACACACATAGTTCCCTCGATTTTGCTCCTGTTAGGTTGCAGGATCTTGTCTTCATTCTATACAAAGTCAATGCAGGAGTGTGTCTAATTTATGCAGGGGTCTGGACTGGTAGCTGGACAACTCCAGGCCTGGAAGAACATTAATAAATTTCCTTAACTTATGAAAATTGTAGAGCAGCAAAGTTAGAGTTTCACTTTTCCTTTTGCAGCTATCACTTTTCCAGAGTTGGAGACGTTTTGAAAAGTTACGGGGGGGAATGAAAAAAAGGGGGGGAAGGGGAGGGAACAGAGGAAAGAGTGAAAGGAAAAATACACATTTTTGAAATTTAAAACAATGTTTCAATTTTTGAAAAACAAAATGAAACTTTCCCATTGAAACATAGAACATTTTCATTAAAAAAACAAAACACATTTTCCTGGCCGGGTGGCGGGGGAGAAGGTTTGAGAAAAATCCCATTTTTCAGTAGGAAACTTTTTCATTTGAGAAGTTTTGGTCAACTCTGATGGAAATGGAGAGCATGCTCTGTAGGATCTACGTCCATTCTTCCATTACTGGGAACAGAGCATTTTGTGCTCCTTCATTCTGCTCTGAACTGCCCAGTGGAAAAAAGCATTTGATTACAATGCTACTTATTAGTTTTAAACATGACATCTAAATTGTAAGGATAGGGAATTTAAGCTTTGGGATTGCCTGATCTGCTGGTGGTGGGTTATATTGCAGTACTGTAGTTATGGTTGTAATTTGGTTGTATTTTTATAGGAAGAGCAGCCAGTGCTTGATCCAAAGTCCATTGATTTTAAATGGGCTTTAGATCATGCCCATAGAGCAGTGGTGGGCAACCTTCAGCAAATGGGAGCTGCGGGCGGCCGTTCAAATGTAAACAAACTGTCTGGCAACCCACCATCGGATCATTCTAACTGGCCAAGTGCGGCCTGTGGGCTGCAGGTTGCTTACCACTGCACTAGAGGTTTCCCTTTCACTCATCACCCAAGAATAGGCAATGGTACCAATGGTGGAGAATGTATAGAAGAGCAACTTTTTTTAAAGTCATTAGAAGTAGGACTGTCAGAATGACCAGAGGCTACTGACAGAGCTCTCTTGGCCCATGCTATCACACAAACATGTTCTTGTCTACTACACACAGATGGGAGCTATTTATGTCTTGGTGAACCCAGGACAAAATCAATGAGCCCACTTGAGGATCTGAACAGTTACTTTATATGGTCATAAAAGGCACTGTTGGAAACCATGCACATAAGTGCAGAGAATAAAGATACACAAGAGCAAGTAAAATATTGATTAATGGAATCAATAAAGCATAATAGGGTTAGCTGCTGTGGTTCGTGAAGAACAAAAGTAATAGAAATGTTCACACAAGTATCAAAATAGCTGGTGCCAGAGGTGTGATCAGTAATCCCAGTGGCACTGCCCCCAACTCTTCATTCGAAAAAACATCTCCTCCTCACTTAATTGCTGCATCTGATTTACCATGTGTGGCTGATCCATCAGGAATCACAGATTCAGCACAGCCACATAAAGTCTCCTCAACAATTTGCAATTTCTTCCACTTTGACTTCAATCACCATACGGACCATCCTAAATCATCTGGGCGCTTTCTTTTCAACCCTAGGATTTAAAAAAACAAAACAAAACAGATTTCAAAAGTGCATTACCATTTTAATATTTGGTTTAATCTTCTTTAAGCATGGAAAAAACAAGCCGTTAGGCCATTTTTAAAGTTGCACTAATTAAATATCCCGTCACTCGTCAGAGAAAGGACTCACATTCCAAAATCATTAAACTTTCATGTACCTCAGTAAAACTGCAGGCAGTAAACAGCTCCATTTTATAAGATACAAGCTGACCCTGAAAATAACTTGGTTTCAGCAACATTTAATTTAATATCATACCCCAACCTCAGAATGGCCGTCTATGGCTCCTATAAGAGAGGGTCTGTAGAGAGGGCTCTGTGGGTTTTGAGGGAACCAGGACTGGGGTGCATATTAATACCTGTAAAAATACTGAGAGACCATCAGCTCATTTCAATCAGCATAGTAGCAGTGAAGTTAGTGGGGCTTTGCTGATTTACCCCAGCTGAGGATCTGGCCCATCGGACTGCACCAAGCACTTTGTCAGCACTAACTAAATAATAAAAAAAAATAACCCTCCCACTCCACACTTCTCTGGATGTGCACAGATATTCAGGCAGCCCCATAATTTGATGTTTATTGCGATAATTTGCTTTTTTCTAAATTGATATTTGGTACTTACTGTCCAAATCCTTCTCCACTCACTCTCCCTTTGTCTTTGGTTTTAAACACATTTTTCTTTTAATCTGAGCCTTTTAATGTTCTTTTCAATATTGTGCCAAAATATGAGAACAGAATGTAAATTTTCAAATGATTCCTTGCATAATCCACTATCTTGACTCCCAGTAGTTTAAAAACAAACCTATCTTTCACTAAAAAAACAAAGCCTAATTTGCATGTAAATCCTTCCAAAGTCCAGCTGGTTTTAGGACTTGATTATAAGTCATAATAATTTTCTGCAACATTTAACAAATTTTAACCTAGTATTTTTAGAAATAAAAAAGTATTATTGTATGTTAAATGGACCTTAGATTAAAAAAAAAATCAAGCAGGTAAGCAACCTTAAAATGTTTCCTCTTTGAAGAAAAAAAAATCTATGAAGATTGACAAAACTAATAATCAGATTTTCCATTCTTTATAGATTAAGGTATAGGCACCATAATTTATGCCTACTGCACCAACTCCTGGAGTGTTGGAATTACATGTGGATCTCAGCTTTCATTACAAGAAAAGAAAAAAAGTGTTTCTAGCACGAAAGGTTACAAAGTAAAGCTTCAAAGTATTAGAACATAAGAATGGCCATACTGGGTCAGACCAAATGTTTATTTAGTCCAGTATCCTGTCTTCCAATAGTGGCCAATACCCGGTGCCCCAGAGGGAATTAACAGAACAGGTAATCATCAAGTGATCCATCCCCCATTCCCAACTTCTGGCAAACAGAGGCTATGGACAACATTCCTGCCCGTCCTGGCTAATAGCCATTGATGGACCTATCCTCCATGAATTTATCCAGTTTTTTTGAACCCTGTTATAGTCTTGGCCTTCACAACATCCTTCGGCAAAGAGTTCCACAGGTTGACTGTGCATTGTGTGAAGAAACACTCCCTTTTGTTTGTTTTAAACCTGCTGCCTATTAATTTCATTTGGTGACCCCTTGTTTTTGTGTTACGTGAAGGGGTAAATAACCCTTTTTCTCCACACCATTCACGATTTTATAGACTCTGTCATAGCTCTTCTTAATCGTCTCTTTTCCAAGCTGAAAAGTCGCAATCTTATTCATCTCTCCTCATATGGAAGGTGTTCCATACCCCTAATCATTTTTCTTGCCCTATTCTGTATCTTTTCCAATTCCAATATATCTTTGTGATGGGGCAACCAGAACTGCACGCAATATTCACAATGTGGGCATACCATGGATTTAGGTAGAGGCAATATGATATTTTCTGACTTATTATCTATCCCTTTCCTAATGATTCTGAACATTCTGTTAAACGAGTAACCAAAGCAACAATCTCTGCCTGAATCTGCAGGCACAGTAAACCAATAGCTTTGAGAGGAGTCAGCTGCCCCAGGCATCTCAATAGGGTTCTGACTCCAAGGTCCTCTGCTCTGAGGAGCCCTGCCAGTACCACTCAGAAGAGTCTATGGGTATGTCTACTCATCAATAAAATAACAAACCCACAGCACTAAGTCTCAGAGCCCAGGTCAGCTACCTTGGGCTTATGGGGCTCCAGCTGAGGGGCTAAAAATAGTAGTGTAGATGTTTGGGCTTGGGCTCTGAGACCCACTCCCCTCGCCTATGGCAAGAAGCAACTACGCAGCAGGCCTATCCCACCTACTCAAGCAGATACATTCCAGCTGCTGCTGAAAATACTGGGGTCACCCCAGCCTCTCTGTGGAAGCAAGAAAGGGGACTCCTGCCACTCATGAAAGGAAGAGGCCTATGCTGTCACTGTTGTGGGAGAGAAAGGAGCCCCATGGCCCTCCCTCACTACGGCCACTTCACGTGGGGGACTACATGTTGCATTATGCGTAGGGCACTGATTGCCTTAATTTGGCAATATTTATAAGGAGTTTTTTTAAAAAACCTTTTCAGGAAAGGAAATTGTTTATCATGGTTTGCACCGTTAGTGCTCCTGTGTATTTCAGTTCAACATCAGGAAAGTTAAACAAAAACACAGAGATGGGCACTAACAAATGTTATTCACTTCCTTTAATAATACTTAACTGAATTATTTTAAAAACAAATTATTTCTGGGAACACCTGGTCTTTTTTAGATGTACTGATAGTTATCTTTAGTAGTATATTCTAGAGGAAGTTTATTGCCCTGAAAGAACAAAACCTTGATGAGAATAAATTTCCAGAACTCTATTACTGTGTAGGTCTTTCACAGATTTCTAGGTATACAGAGGGAAACTTCTCTAAACAAATAGCTGAAAAGGATTGTGGTAGCTCTATAAAGCAAATAAAGGTCATGTATTCATTGGCAAAATATGATTATCAAGGCTTCTTGCAGCCAGATTTTCAGACTCAATCTCCAAAAGCGGCAGTCCTCTTGTTTGTGTATGCAAAAGACCATTTGTGCATTTAAATTGGGCAAGTGGGTGGCCAGCTGTCTCCTACACACAGACATATGTGGGTTTTGCACATATAAAATGGGTTCACACACACATTGCGGGTACAATTACCAGTGTTACCAACTCTTGTAATTTTATTGAAACTCACAGTTTTTTGGTGTTTTTCTTAAAGGTCTGGCTCCTGGAATCATATGATTTAAAAAAGCTGGGATTCTCAAAGTAATTTTATAGCCAACAATTTTCTCCTGACTGAGAAAAGTATAAAAGAGAATGGTGGAGGCTCAAAAAAAATTCAGAAGGCAAATAAAAAGAACCCCAAATTTGTTTCAAAATCCATGCATTTTAAGCCAATTTCCTGATATTTTCAAGGACAGACTGATGATTTCTCACAAAACTGAGTGACTGGGCAACAAAATGTTGATAAATGCAAAGTAATGCACATTGCGAAACAATTCCAACTATACATACAAAATGATGGGATCTAAATTAGCTGTTACCACTCAAGAAAGATCTTGGAGTCACTGTGGATAGTTCTCCGAAAACATCTGTTCAATGTTCAGTGGCAGTCAAAAAAACTAACAGTGTTAGGAACCATTAGGAAAGGGATAGATAATAAAACAGACAATATCATAATGCTACTATATAAATCCATGGCACACCTACACATTGAATACTGTATACAGTACTGGTCATTCCATCTCAAAAAAAGATATTAGAATTGGAAAGGTACAGAGAAGGGCAACAAAAATTATTAAGGATATGGAACAGCTTCTTTATGAGGAGAAAGTTAAAAGACTGGGAATTTTCAGCTTGGAAAAGAAATGACTAAGAAGGAATATGACCAAGTTCTTTAAAATCGTGAATGGTATAGAAAAAAGTGTTATTTACCCCTTCACATAACACAAAAACAAGGGGTCACCCAATGAAATTAATAAGCAGCAGATCTAACACAAACATTAGGAAGTACTTCACACAATGCACAGTCAACCTGTGGAACTCATTGCCAGGGGATGCTGTGAAGGCCAAGACTATAACAGGTTCAGAAAAGAACTAGATAAATTTATGGAGGATAGGTTCATCAATGGCGATTAGCTAAAACGCTCAGGGATGCAATCCCAGGCTCTGGGTGTGCCTACCCTCTGATTGTCAGAAGCTGGGAGTGGATGACAGGGAATGGATCACTCAGTGATTGCCTGCTCTGTTCATTCCCTCTGAAGCACCTGGCATTGACCACTGTCAGAAGACAGGGTACTGGGCTAGATGGACTTTTGCCTGACCCAGTATGTCCGTGTTTATTTTTGAGTACTTGGGGTTGGCAGTACTGAGTCAGTTGTCAGTGCTGTTTGAAAAGCTACAGCTGAAACTTTGCCCTGTACTGGCCTTGCTCCTCCAGCTGGTATAGACATGGGCAAGACCTTAACCTATTGCTGCCCTATCCTATCCTGCCCCCTATAGAGGGTCTAGCTTTACATTACAGCCATAATTTAGCCTAGATTAGGGACCAGCAACATCAAAATGTTAGGGGCATTGGTGGGGGGGGCGGGAGTGGAGTTAATGGACACCTTGGGAAGTTATTTCTTCATTATCATAGAATAGTGCAGAACTATCTAGGCAGCCTCCTGTCATACTGCCTGCCTAACAGCGTGAGGATAACCAATAGCATGCAGGCTACTATTTCACTCTCTTTGAAACACCTATGGGTAGTCCTTCCCACTTCCCTCCAAACATCTGGGTGTTAGCTATTACCATTCCAGCACAGGCTCTAATACCAGAGTGCCAGGTACACAGAGCAAAACTCCTCTAAAGCTACACAGTATGCCACACCCATTTCCTTATCCTGGAATGCTCATCAGACATCTCTGAATACTTCACAACCCCACTGCACTTTTTAGGGTTTCAGGCAAACTTAGCCTGTTACTCATCAGGCTGTTTTGATGGCACACTACCCACAAGTGCCCATCCTGTTGGGTATTTCTATCCTGTCTCATCTTTAC